TTCACCTGAAACAGTAGCGGCTTCCGCCGTCGGCGGCGACGGCAATACTGTCGGAACAGCTGCTGCCGTGCTCGCTACAGCTGGTTTCACCGTTGCGGCCGCAGCCGCAGCGGCGACGGCCCCGGCGGCCCCGGCGGCGGCGGCGATCCGTCGCTCCGCCGCCTCTCGACGCCTCTTAGATCGTTTCGACTCCCGAACAAGCCGGTGGTAGTCCATCTCCTCGGCCGGTTCGCGCCTGCCACCTCCGCCGCCACGGGAGGTACGGCATGTTGCCGCCTCCGCCGCCTTTGCGGCAGCCGCCTCCGCCGCGGCAGCCGCGGGCGTAAGGCCCCAGTTGCGGGTGGGGTCGGGCAGCACGGCCGGGTTGGGCTTCAGCCCGGCGGCGGCGGCGGCGCTGCCGGCCCAGCCACCACGCGACGGCGGCGGTGGCATCAGGCGCAGCAGGCTAGCCATCTCGTCAAGACCTGCGCCAGCGCCGCCGGCGATCAGCGGCCGCGCAGCTGCATCGCCGGACGCTGCCGCCGGCGCTGCTGCCTCCTGTACGACAGGCGCACGCGTTAACTGCAGATTCGCCGCGGCATTAGCGCCGCCGTCACCAGCCCTCCGGGCCGCCGGCCATGGGCCCGATGTGACCGCCGTCGGCGTGTTGACAGCGGGTCCAGCAGCCGTCACGGCAGATGGTGCACTGCCGTACGGTACGGCAGTCGTCGGAGGCAGCGGCTTCGCCGTGTTACTAATTACGGATGGCGGCGGTGGAGACGGCGTGCAGATGGGCACGCAGGCTCGCGGGTAGCCAGGTCCCATCTGCCGTACATAGTCGTACCACGGACCAAAATACTCCCGCGTGCTCATGCCACGTCCTGTCGGGCCGCGAGCGGGTGAGGGTGTCAGTTAGAAAGGAGTAACAAGAAAGGGATCGCAAACACCCAACAGCTGTACCAGTAACCGCTGTACGGCAGATTTTGCACCCCGCCCGCCCAACACGCCAACTGACTTTCATCTGTGCCAATGCCCCACTGGCCCGCAGCCCACTCACCTCCCGCCGCCGCCGCCGCCTGACCCCCCGCGACGCGACCCACAGCGCGAGACGCCGCACGGCCCAGCAAGACCACCGCCCAGGCCGCCAGCCAGGACGACAGGGCCACCGCGAATACGGCAGTGGCGGCGCCGCCGGGCAGGCGGGCCACGACCTGCATGCGACCCACAAGTGACCCACGGGTCAGACGATGAAATGGTTTAGCGAGCACCAATGGGCACACGATAACATGTACGGCAGTGGCAATGACTTGAGTCGGGTGTCCGCTAATCACCCCCAGCAGCTGCTACTGCTTCTACTACTGCTGCTGCTACTGCTACTACTACTGCTGCTATTACTGCTGCTGCTACTGCTTCTACTACTGCTGCTGCTACTACTACTGCTTCTACTACTACTGCTGCTACTGCTACTACTTCTACTACTGCTGCTGCTACTGCTACTACTACTGCTGCTGCTACTGCTACTACTACTGCTAATACTACTGCTAATACTGCTAATACTGCTAATACTGCTGCTGCTACAACTGCTACTACTGTTGCTGCTACTACTGCTAATACTGTTGCTGCCACTGGTGGCCTGGTGCATGGAAAGGCATTTGCATTTGCGCAACACCCTACCCCCTCCCGCCCCTTTCCCCTCACCACTGGGGCCGAGTGATCAACAGCCATCGGCGTCGCTGCCGCCGGGCTTTTGCCGTACATGGACATCTGCGCCGCCGCCACGTCTGCCGCCGCCGTCGCGAAGCTCTTCACGTCCGCCGCAGTGCCCCGCAGTAGCCCGCGGGCCACCGCCTCCGTCGGGCCCCCGGGGAGCTGCTGGCCACCTTCCTTCAGAAACCCAGCTCCCTCCTCCCCCCTCGTCCCTTCCATCTTCTCACCCTTCGCCGCTGCTGCCGCTGCGCCCCATGGGTCCCGCCCCTTCTTCTCTATCTGCTGCTGCTGTTGCCTCATTCCGGCGGGACAGACCTCCGGCATTTCTTCTTCAGCAGCTCCAGCACGAGCACCAGCACCAGCACCAGCAGCGGTGGCCGCGGCGGTGGCGGCTGCTGCTGCATCAGAGACAGCCGCGTCGAAGGAGGTGACGCTGATGGAGGTGGGGGCGACTGGGGCCTGCGCCTGCATCGCGACTGCAGGAGCTGCAAACAATGCTGGAGTTGCTGTCGTTGTTGTTGTTGTTGTTGCCGAGGGGGGAGGCGGGAGCTCTGCCGCTTTGGCAGTCGTGCTGCCGCCCGCTGCTGCAGTGCTACCAACAGCAGCGGCAGTAGCAGCAGCCTTGGTGTCCCTGTGGTTCGAATAAATAAATAATAAATAAATAAATGATAAATAATCAAGTAAAAAAATAAAACAAATGACGACGAATTGGCAAAATGCAAGGGCGACTAGGGGTGTATTTCCAGTGCGGATTAAGGCCAGGGATTAAGGTCCCGCTATTCCCGGCTAATCCCCGGCTAATCCCTGGCAATTCTTAAGGCCTGGGATTAGCGCTGGGATTAAGGCCGTACAAAGGGCGATGCATACTTTCTATGTGATTCTGAAGCTAAAATTGTTAAGTTCTGAACTAGTTTGGGCATTAGGAATTGAATCAGTATTAGATATGAACAGGAAGCGCACTCTTCTCGCCGTTCATCTCTTCATCACCCTTTTGAGCAACCCAAAACAGGAATTGCTTATTTGAGATCATATATATGGAACTACCTAGAAATTAACGTCAGACATGGCGCCGTGAATGCTAATCCAGATACGGAAAGTTACTACCTGGCTCGAGCCAGGTAATAACTTTTTTGTCACAGGTTGCCAGGTAAATACATGGGCATCAAGTTCAGTTTATGTTCTTTCCTAATCTCTTGCTAGCTCCCGCTAATCTTCTGATTAGAGAACACGGTGTCCTGAGGAATTTCTTAATCCCCGGCTAATCCTGCTTAATCCCGGTGGGATTTCCACTGCCGGGATTAGCGCAGGGATTAACGCTAATCCCTGGCCTTAATCCGCACTGGAAATACACCCTAGATGGTATCAACATCATCAGTGGTGATGATTCATCACGCACGCACCAACAAAGCCTGTTCACTTAACAGCAAAAACAGAAATCTGTGATTTAAATGCAACAAAGCGAGAACAGGTTACCTTGCCGACGCGGCTGCGGACGGAGCGGATAACGCCGTACCGGCGGCGGCTGCCGGCCAACCCGCAGCGCCCCGCCTGATGGGCTGGTCCACTTGCAGCGCCCAGTCCTGACGGGACGATGAAAAACACGTTCGTAAAAACAAACACATTTGGTTAAGGGAAACGGAAACGCTTTTCCAGGACTTAGGGTTTTCCTTCCGAAGAATCCCCCACGCATGTGTTTTTAATGCGGTTCATTAAAGGCGGTTGCACCTCCGCGAGGGTAAGAGGAGGGAGAGATCAGTACATCAGCACCAGCAGCAGGCGGCACGAAGCGGTGGGGGGATTCATAGGGAGCTGCAAGGGAGCTGCCGGGGGAAGTGAGCTGCAGCTGGCGTCGTCCGTCCATCCAGGAGGTCCCGGTGAAGAAACTGCCCCTAGCCAGCGAGTGAGCGAGCGAGCGAGTGAGTGAGCGCGTCCTGAGCAGCGGTGAAAAGCCATCGAGCGACCCCCCGGGGTTCAGGAAGTGGTAAAGCCCCGTTACGCACGGCTGCGGCGAAAGGCGGGAAAGGGACCCACGCAGCTACCCCTACGAACGCGGAGGGGGGTTAAGAACGTTCTTAAGTCGTTCTTAGCCCAGCCAAATTGATAAAATTGAATAATCATTAGAACGTTCTTACACTGTTCTAAGAACGTTCTAAGAACGTTCGTATGACCTCCGTTTATCTTAAAACCGTTCTTTCAAATTCTTTAGCATTCTTCGGGCCCAGCAGTCTTATGCATTCTCTTCCATTCTTTGGGGTGTTCTTATACGTTCTTAGGCCAACTTATTGATTCTTTGTCTAAAGCATACTTAGCTGCTCTTTGGACGGTTTTAACCGTTCTTACCATAGGTTCGCTAAGTATGGCACTCATTCTTAAGTCATATTCTCAGGAAATTCTTTTTGCTGCTTCATTCTTAAGCCTTAAAAATGTGGGATTCTTAAGGGGTGGTCATGACGAAAATGCCATTCAGTTACGTGTATCGACCTCTGCTTTCTCACCTGCAATTTTACTTGTAAGCACCCTTTTCTGAGGTTGCCGCAGATATCTCAGGAATTCTTACATTCAAATTCTCATTTCAGGGGGTGTTACGCTGGACTCGAACCATAGACTACGAAACTTTTGAATTAATCTTTCGAACCTAAACCTATGCTTTAAGACACGACACCTCAAGATGCTGAGAGCTGTCGCAAGACGCATAAGTACTCTATCTATGCTAAAACGTGTGCGTATACTGTGAGCTGCGCCAAATGCCGTACACGAACATATGTGCGTGTACGACAAACAACTCAACACCTGTTCAGCAAGTCAGCTATCAGCCCTGGCCCCTGTACAAAAACCTGGCGTGCAGCCTGACATGGCCACATACCTGCTGCAGCCCACTGCCCAACACCATCCCTGGCTGCTGCAGCTGCATGAAAAACAAGAGGCGCCCCGAGGCCACTGCCATGTTTAGCTGAATCCAAATGGAAGCATCCTTGCTTGCCATGGAGAGGCTGGCAGACTCATGTGTTTTCTACAAGCCCCCACAAGAAGAGTTTGAGGCTACTGAAACTGTAGCAGTCGCTCACCTGGACGCGGATGACTGGCTTTGCAGAAGCGTGGAATTTAGAGTCCTCGCTGAGGAGGAAGAAGTCCAACCCAGCGACAAGCAATAGCATACATAGACCCGTACGAAACAATCTGAGACGGCGGCAGCGGAGTCTTGAACTCTGAATACCAAGTAGTCGTGATGCTTAAGTGCCTCACCATAGCACCCCGCCCAGGTAGCTTACCTCTCGGCCTACTTGCCGGAGATTCCCTACTACGTTCTTGCCGTGCTAGGATACTGTCGGTGTATCCTCCGGTGGCAGGGTGGTACAGGGGGTTACCCTCTGGTGGCAAGGTGGTACAGGAGGGTATCCTCCGGTGGCAAGGTGGTACAGGAGGGTATCCTCCGGTGGCAAGGTGGTACAGGAGGGTATCCTCCGGTGGCAAGGTGGTACAGGAGGGTATCCTCCGGTGGCAGGCTGGTACAGGAGGGTACCCTCCGGTGGCAAGGTGGTACAGGAGGGTACCCTCCGGTGGCAAGGTGGTACAGGAGGGTATCCTCCAGTGGCAGGTTGGTACAGGAGGGTATCCTCCGGTGGCAAGGTGGTACAGGAGGGTACCCTCCGGTGGCAAGGTGGTACAGGAGGGTATCCTCCGGTGGCAGGCTGGTACAGGAGGGTACCCTCCGGTGGCAGGCTGGTACAGGAGGGTACCCTCCGGTGGCAAGGTGGTACAGGAGGGTATCCTCCGGTGGCAGGCTGGTACAGGAGGGTATCCTCCGGTGGCTAGGTGGTACAGGAGGGTACCCTCCGGTGGCAGGGTGGTACAGGAGGGTATCCTCCGGTGCTACCCCTTTGACACCGAAGGTTCTCCCCAAAGGGGAGGAAGCTTATCCCTTACAGTGTACCTCCCATGTCCCTTGGGTGTCCCTTGGGTGTCCCTTCCACATGTCCTTTGGTGTCCCTTTGGTGTCTCTTCCATGTCCCTTTGGTGTCTCTACCCTGTCTTTTGGGTGTCCCTTGGGTGTCGCTTCCACGTGTCTCTTCCGCTTGTCCCTTTGTTGCCCTTGGGTATCCCTCCCGTGCCCCTTGGGTATCCCTCCCGTGCCCCTTGGGTGTCCCTTGGGTGTCCCTTTGGTGTCCCTTGCAAGGGACACCCAATTGGGTGTCCCTTCCATGTCCCGTTGGTGTCTCTTCCATGTCCCTTTGGTGTCCCTTCCATGTCCCTTTGGTGTCGCTTCCCTGTCTTTTGGGTGTCCCTTGGGTGCCGGAGACCGAATTTACCAAAACCTTCATTGACAGCTGCGCCTGGCTAATTATTATTATCCCCTTGGTGGCAGAATGCTCAGTCAGGATGCAGTGGAGGGTCGAGCACATGATACGGATAGGAAGGAGAAGGATAGAAATGTGGACCCAGGAAGAGTCAACACCAACCCACCAAGGATGAGGATGGCAGAGGATGAGGGGATGCAGTCAGCAGGGTGTGGGATGTTAGCAAGCATTGGCTTGAGGATATGGAAAGGGGGTGTAGGATGTATCCAACTGACTGGATGCATGTTCATGCATCCTGCAGCTGCCAAGACTCCCCAAGAATGCAAGGATGGGCCGCCAATTTGACACCCTCCATCAGTGTACACTGATGTATATGCAGTGTGGCCAACTAGATATTCATGGTGATTGATAGGGGATTTAATTATTGGTACATCGATGTAGCCATAGATATCTATGAACTCGCTAATCCATCTAACAGGTCTAAACCTGTTAGATCTCGCATTATTAGATCTAAGGTCTAGACCTAGACACATGTTGATGATCATCAACAGCTCTTATAATTCCAGGATGAAAATCATGATTTTCATGAAATTTCATGGTATGTTCACTGTTTCACAATCACTGTGATATATTACCTATCCTGGAACTATAAGAGCTCCATCAGGCATTCATTACAGAATGTTTTCATGGCTGATGCATTCTTAATGCATACTTATATGACATACTTACATAAAACCGCTTAATCCCAGTGTAAGAATGTTTAAGAATGCACACCCGACGCCTCCGTGTTCTTCAGACATTCTTATCGTTCTTAAGCATTCTCCTAAGTTTCTTAACCCCCCTCCGCGTTTGTAGGGTACCACCACACGCACACACACGCACACACACGCACACACCACCACCTCACTCTTATCAACACAGCTCTCACCACAATCCTCAGTGGCACCTCCACCAGCTGGGTCGACAACCGCACAAGTGCCCGGGTGCCGCTGCGCAGCCCGACGGAGCGCCTGCCGTACGCAAGCCGTACAGTGCCGTACAAGTACGGGGGCCATCGCATGTTTTGCGATGGTCCGTGGTGGGCAGCAGCAGCAGGGGGGAGCAAAGAACGGGTTGGGTGGAAGAGACCCGACAATTGCTGAGGGGGGAAACCGCCTTTATTACGACAATGTCCCAAAAATGAAAAACACAGTACATACAATTGTTGCAGAAAGATGGGGGCTTTAATGTACGCAATGCACAGGGCTGCGCAGTGCTGTAGATGACGTTTTGGTATATATAGGAATAAAATAAAAGCATTGGTTCACGATGATGCTGTACCGCTGCAACGAGAAATTGGAGAAATTGGAGAAGTTGGAGAAGCTGACACGCACCTGGCTGCCGTACGGGTCTCCAGGGCGGGCCCGGCACCGTCTTCGCCGGAGGATCCCGACGACGCCGTTGCATCCTGTACGGCACTGCGCTCCGGCGCAGCGGCGGCGGCGTCGTCGTAGGCGGTCAAGTAGGCGGGAAACGCTGCCGCGGCGAGCCTGGCCGCCGCCGCCTCCTTGACGTTCGCCGCCGCCACCCCCGCCGCCTCCTGTGTTGCGGTTGCGGTTGCAGCCGCCCCATCAGCTGCCTTGGCCGCGGTGGTAGCAGCAGCGGCAGGGGCAGCGGTAGCGGCCTGCTGCTGCTGCTGCTGCTGCGCCAACGCCTCTTGGTAGCACAAGCAGTAGACTGCCCACCTGCGGCAGCAACGACAAACAAACAACAATAACGGTAATCATTATAGGAAACAGCAAATAGATAAACAAAAAAGGCAATAAAACTGACAGCAGCAGCTTGGAGCAAGAGCTGTACGGCCGTTATACAAATTTCAAATTTAATAAAGTAAAAAGGGTCTTATGGTAAACGGACTGCTTTATTTCATCGCTCGTTTAAAATTTATCCTTCGTACCGGCAAAGGTTGGTCCAGGGCGTTTCGTACACGTCGTCAGCTGCGGACGTACCGTACGGCAATGTGCCGTATACCCAGTCCTGAACCCTAGGATTGGCGCTCTCGGACCCCGTGTCGTACTCGTGCCCGGTATCGTACTCCACATCGTCTGTGGCGGTGACGGCTGTCTCCGCGGAGGGGATGCTGCGCGGCGTCGACGCCACCGCGCCACGGCCGGCGACAGCGCCGTCAGCCGCCGCCTGGTCTCTCCTTTGTCGCGCCGCCGCGACATCGTAGACCGTCGCCGCCGTCGGCGCGCCGCCGACAACCGGCAGGACGCCCGTCGTCTGGGCGCGCTGGAAAGCGAGAGTGGCCTGCCATAGCGCGTGCCAAGCAGCGTAGACGGAAGCGGACAGCGGAGACAGCGCAAACGTTAGCAGTGTGCAAAGTGTGCATGTATAAAATAAACAGGGGGACGCAACGTGGACAGAAAGAGAAATAACGCAAAAACTGAACAAAGCCATTTTTAGGGAGGGGCAAGACAGCAGGACAAAATACAAAAGAAAGGGCGTTGAGCTATTTAGCTGCGGGGGCCTTCAGCCCATTACAGTACGCGACTTCGCGACCTCGCGGCACACTGTCGCTCGAGCGACATGCGGGTATCCTTGGTCACACAAAAGCTGATTCAGCTGGTGTTCTCAGAACGTAGCAAACGGGCCGCTGCCCTGCAGATTGTTAGTAAATTTTTATTTTTTGCCCTCCGGGAAAGTAGTTATGGCTGCCGTGGCTTTTGAGAGATGTGGATGGATGGAATCGGTCGAGGAAGTGACCGTTGACGTAAGAACAGATAAGCAGCAACCGCAGGAGCAGGCTTGGCGGTTGCTGGTGTCGGAAAACTAGGCAAAGAAAGAAGAAGCTCTCCTGTGATGATTTTCATGCAGGACACGCAGCGGTCGGCGTCTGTTGTGAGGGGACAGCCTGGTAAGTCGGCATGGCCTAGACGGGATGTCGCGCAGTGTCTCTTTCAACTGCGAGTACCCACCGCTAGACCTGTAAGCGTGATGGCGATGGAGAACAGAGACAGAATAGTTTCCAGGGCTCCACCTCCAAGCCCATGGTACACCCAGGCCTTAAATTCAGGAGGCCTTGTCAACGAGGGCCGGGAGCTGGCAGCGCGCTCTGGCGGCACGCTGAATCGCTTTACCCCAAGGGTGGAATGACTGGGGCGCCCGTGACGAAGGAAGCCAGCGAAACGTGCTGCCTTGGACTGTGCAGCACTGGCGCGCAACTTTAAGAGGCCGCGGCGAAATGTGAACAGCTTGGGCCCTAGGCCTGGAAGAAGGGCCCCTGGGCAAACCCAAGCAGCGGATGAAGTCGAATTTGTGGCCATGTCAGGACTTCATCCGAGGAAACAAGCTCTGAGCTTCGTTCGCAAGAACCCTACTCCAAACAGAAAGGTATGCAGCGCGTCTGACGACAACACCTTGAAACTGCAGGGTAATTCACTGTGTACTTTAAACTATACAAAGTATCCCTTGGCTTATTTGGCGCTTCAAACATCCGCTGTCGTAATGGCAGTTATAACAACGTCTCGGGGCAACTATTTGGCAAAGCCCCTAGCGCAAACACTCAGCTTAATTTCGTTCCAAATATCGAAACGAGTCTGCTCGGTTTGTGCATTAGACGTTTTGACGAATCGTCTTCTCTTGTGTTAAAGCACTTTTTCAGTTAGCAAGGGCCGTGCTTATAAGCTTTGCGCGACTCAGCCAAATGACCAGTTTCTTCTACGCGCTGAATCTCGATCGGTAGGAATAGGATTATTCAAGGTTTTCAGGAAGGGCCTGCCATACAGGCCACGTTAATGGAACGAACGTCTGCGCGACATAATGAATTACCCATCGCAGAATTTACCGCGTGCAGTTTTTCCTTATTAAAATGCACTAATAATGGGCGTACACATCGTCAATTCTATTGGGGTACACCACTCCACAGGACCTGGACCCCCGGCGTTACCTGTGTCGTCGGGGAAACGTGCAATGTTGTTGTTTGAATGTAATTTCATACAAAAACCTTTTGCACAAATTGTGATACTTTGTCAATTTTTGTAGCTTGGCTGCATTTCAGAACAATTCGTACAATGCGCCGGGCGTGTATAGCCGACCCATGAACAATACACTGCACTCGTGGCATAATTCCTGAAACATCTCACGTCTATGCACACATCTACGTAATAAGTAAGATAAATACGCGGCTAAGGGAGTGGAGCTAGCCGTCCCTTTCACACAATTTTCCCATTTACATCCATACTATCATGCTTCAATAACCTGCTGCCATATGTGACAACTTTATTATTTTATTTTTGTTCATCGCTCCGGAACAAGCGGCCATGAAGCGGGCTCGGCTTGATGACGACGAAGCCGAGAGAAACCCTGCTCCCCGGTGGACCGTCTCAGCAACAGTACTACAGCACATTTCAAATGACCCGCGCGGCGGTTATGCCGGCGCCGACCTGCCACCCTCTCTGAGCCCTGATGATGATGTTCAA